GGATCGGAGAGCGCCGCAGCGGTGCACGCGACTTCATCAGTGAGGCTCTTGATTTTGCCAAGGTACTCTGCCATGGCCATGTTACCTTTTTTTAGGTTGGTGAGCTCGATGAGGGCGTTGATCGCCTGCGCTTGGCTCTGGGCAGCGAACATGTCGTTGATGGCACGCCACACCTCGGCCGGCGTCTGAAGCGTGGCGACCAGTGAAAGGATCTCGCAGGAAAAGGAACCCATCAAGTATCTTTGAAGTTGTTGCTGATGTGCATACCAGAGAGTTCATGCAAAGTTGACGACTTGCTCTTCTTTGCCGTCCTTGGTGATGGTGAGAGTGGTCGGCGGTGGCGGTCTCTTCTCGTCGACGTAGTGCTCCACCCGTGCACCCCTGATCTGGGGCAGCACGCTGGCCTTCCATAGCAGGAAGTTCCCCCTCATCAGCTTCTCCTGTGGTGGCGATCCGAGGAAGGTATGGGTGGCTGTGGATGAGGAGGCAAAGGTGGAGGAGGAGGTGGTGGTGATTGCGCTCATGGTGCTGGGCGACATGGCGGCGGAGGTGGTAGACATGATCTCAGTCGCAAAGGTAGCTAGATGCGATCTCTTTCAATCTAATGAGGAAGAGGCTTTATTACCATGTGAAAGTATTTTGGGAAGCATAGAACCCTTTCTCTCGGGCCGCATTGTATATATTGGGCAAAAGCCGTGGTACACAAGTTACAGAGAGAGATCGACCAAAGGGGTCGTTACAGAGAGATATGGGAGAAGAGGAGATAGAATTTAGGTACAAGTTAAACAGACACTCCTAACCTTATACTCCCTCCGTCCGGAAATACTTTTCATCAAAATAAATGAAAGGAGGTGTATCTAGACGTGTTTTAGTTCTAGATACATCCATTTTTATCCATTTTGATGACAAGTACTTTCGGACGGAGGGAGTACATCTCCTATACAGTTATTCTAACATGGACCCCCTTGCATTAATATGTCTAATCAGCATTGATGTGTTCTAAACATCCTTTGGTATACCCATTTTGCTATTTTTATGTCGCTTTCAGGATGGATCAAGTGGCCCCTCATCAAGTCCATGGTTGCACAAAACGTTCCTGCAACATTTGAGTTTCAAAAACATCTGCAGAAACTTACAAAGAGTTCCCCAGTGTGCATTTACACACATAACTATTGTACAACGCACTAGGTTAGAAATAATTGTACAACGGATGTACCTTTACAATAGTTGTATGCCCCTTCTAAAAGTCACTGTCGATTTTAAGCGTTAAATGATGCCTAGAAGACAAAGGGTATCTCCCACGCTATTCATCAAACGAATACCATCAAATGTACATCGACACATGTTCGGATGTGTCCATGGACAGCCGGGCGGGTGCTGGCCCTCCACTAGCTCTTCCTCTC